GTCTATGACGTCATACGGACCTGGTTATACATGGCCGATAGATGAACTCGGAAAAATGAAATACCGCGATGATCACTTGAAACCAATCGGAAATATCTTGTTTATCTTCGCAAATGAAGTCCCAAAAGAAATCCACACCGGACGCAGAAATATCTGCGGAAACATTGGTCATTCTCCATGAATATATAGAGGAAATGATGCTCATTATACCGTGAGAAAAGAAATAATACCTTCAAATCATGGGGCTATATGTTCAAGCCAAGTATTTGATTAAATACTTCTTTTAATTATTATGCGATGAAAGTTATATGGTTAATGGATTGTATCATTGCACAAAATCTGATTATAATATTCAAAACATCGTTTAGGAAATGACGGTATATATTTGTAATAGACATTGAAAACGATACCATTTTACCGCGTTCAAGCATACACCAAACGAATCATGTCTTTTGTTTATATTGTTTATTACAGAATATAATTTATTGCAGAATATGTGTAAATTATTCTCTAGTAAGTATACAAGACTCTTTTATGAAAACGAAAATTTGTCAAAGACATTTTTATTTACACATAATAATGATAGCCACTTTACACGTAGGTAAATTTTTTTTTTAAGGAAGAGGACATATTTACCACTGATTAATTTAAGCAACAATAAGACTAATCGAAGCATGAAAAGTAGAATATAATACAGAAACCATAAGGTAATCATTAAACGGCAAGGGTTACGTCATAACAAAAATCAGACTTACAGGCCTATAAAGAGAAAAATTATATACAGTCAAAGATCTTTCAACTAAGAAGGACAGTGGGGCACTTCCACGTCTATTTTTGTCATTGTGAGAAAAGATCTCTTTTACTTTGTTTTGCGAAAACTTCCGTAAAAAGATAATAAGGAACAAGAGCAATTCCCACATCTGCGAATTTAACAATGCTCCGGGAAATCTGTGCAGCAAATTGTAAGATGCAATTATCTATTACCGAATGCAGTTAACCCCTTCCAAAAATATGTCCTAGTTCACGAAGATAATGGAATCAAATGCCGAGGAAAGGACGGGACAATAACATTGACAAGTCAGTGGCTTAGCCGAGTTTCCTCTTGTTCTTTTTATTAGGATAATTTTATCAATTATATCAAACATTCTCCTTGAGTGTGGTGGTTTGTTTTAAAAAACTTCTGCAGGGGCAACGCCTGTAAACTAAACAACCCAGGATATCAAGCCAAAGTTCATACATGTAGCATGTGCATGATAAAAAAAAGTGCCCCGAAGAGTTTGATTTTGTTTCGTTTTGTCAGGAAGAGGCTTCGAAGCTGTGCGAGGACATTTTGTGTGATGTGGAATGAATTTGTAATAGGAGAGAGAGAGAGAGAGGGGGGGAGAGAGAGAGAGAGAGAGAGAGAGAGAGAGAGAGAGAATTAGAGAGAGGGAGAGAGATAGGGAGAGAGAGAGAGAGAGAGACAGAGAGAGAGAAAGATGGAGAGAGAGGTGCCCGTGTTTTTTGTGTTTTTTGGAGGGGAGTTAATGAGCAAGGGATCGGCACCTTTTCTCTCTCTCTCTCTCTCTCTCTATCTTGCTCCTTCTTTCTTTCTTTCTTTCTTTCCTCACATAAAACCAGCGATTTAATGATTTTAACAAGACTCGTCGGCGCATGACATCACAGCTTATAACGGTTAAATGTCGTAAATAACGGCCCCGTACCCTTCAGTGAAAAGCTTAAAACTAACGACCACTTATTACGTAACAATAATTGTCTCCCTCAACCCTCTTCTATACGGTAACTGTAAATTGATCCGATTTTGAGTCGAGTGCTCATTACGTAACGGTAATAGCTGTCGATCAAGTTCAGCGCCTCCGCACAAGAGCGCACTGTAAATTATCCAGGGGGTTTGTTCCCAGGTCGATATGCGTGAAAGTGACTTTCATTAAAGACAAGCTATATATAAATAACACGGAACCATTCTGGTCTCTTTTGTTATGCCTGCTGCTGCAGCCCCAGCCTTTCACGTATATATACGAGTTTGGAGTCGAAGAAACACGTTCTAATGTCAGTAGAAACTCGATAGATTTTCAACATTCGAAACAAGGCAGAAATAATGTTTTCACAAAGCTTTGAGCAAAAATGCTTTGGCGGGGAGGGTCAATGAAAAAGATATCCATTGAGAAAGGGGTACTAGGACAGTATTAATCGGACAAAGGCGAATTTAGAGTAAACACAAGAGCATGTTGTTCGTTCAAAAAGGTAATAGTAGGCCTAGGTACCTGCAAAGTGTTACTACTTACTTCTGCATGTTGAGCTAATGTATACCAATATATAATTACTGTTATTGTTCTCAAGATTATGTTTGTTATTTCTGGAGAGTCCAGGGGTGATTAAAAAGTCTGCTGATTGAGACCGTTGGATTTATTTTACGCCATGAGTGCTTGGGAGAAGGAGACAGAGAGAGAGAGGGGGAGGGAGAGGGAGGAGGAGGAGGAGAGAGATAGAGAGATAGATAAATAGAGAGAGAGAGAGATAGAGAGAGATAGAGGGAGATAGAGAGAGATAGAGAGAGAGAGATAGAGAGAGATAGAGGGAGAGATAGAGAGAGATAGAGAGGGAGAGAGAGGGAGAGAGAGATAGAAGAGAGAGAGAGAGAGAGAGAGAGAGAGAGAGAGAGAGAAGTGAAAGCACATAGAAGAATTATGTAGGCCAACCTTGAAAGGTTAACATTTTAGTTCCAACTCCCGCAGAGCTAAGAGAACCTTTTAGCATGCATGCTGTAAATGATTTTCTTCTATACAAGACAAAGACAAGATTTCATTCATGATATATATATATATATATATAGGGCATATAGGCCTACATATATAAATATTTAGTAGGGTGCTAATTCCTAACACATTCGTATTTCTGGTGAAAGGGGGAATAGAAGGCAATGTCGGATCCACAAAACGAGGGGCGAAAGCCTCTTCCGTCCAAATGGGGCATAAAATAGATACACTGACAAGTGAATATTTTATTTTATTTGTTTTTTAAAATGTTTGTTCACATTTTGTTTTGGGGATTGGGCGAGCTTAAAAAACAACAACAACCTCTATATGCGGGTGAGTGGCGGGTGGCGGGTAAAGGGCGAGGGCCGGGGGAAGGGTAGGTCTTCATCCCCACATGTTGTTCAAAACATAATTCTCACTTTGCATTTTGCGTGGTGACTCACAAATATTGTTCATTTAGAATGAAAATGATTATAACTGAATGTTGCTTTCTACAAACAAAAACAAATGCATCACTTTCTTGGGTCTGAATATGGAGACTGGTTAACATGCGTCAAATGAGCCCTTGTTATTGCAAGGAGTATCATAGTACAGGGTATCTTTACAAGACTGAAAACAGCTGATTGCTTCAGAGGGCGTACACACCTTATACAAGCTAAAATAGTCTACATTTATAAACTCTTTATACGATATTCCACGCTTGATTTAACTCGTTTAATGATACTTAGGTGCTAACAATTTCGAAAATTCACTTCATGATATCTGACTTTACATCCTTAATATATACTTGGACTGAATTATAAGGAGAAATATTTGTTGCCATTTCTTGGAATTTTGCTGTACACTTAAAGTCTGAACAAGTAGACTGCGTCTCATGGACCCTGGACCTATAGATGTTGCAAGAGTGAAATGACAGGGAGAGAGAGAGAGAGAGAGAGAGAGAGAGAGAGAGATAGAGAGAGGGAGGGAGAGAGAGAGAGAAATAGGTCAGAACTTGACTTCGCTTTTGCAAGAATTATTGTGAAATCTCTTCTTTCTCTTCTTCTCTTTTTTCCACCAACCCTGAATTTGCTTCTTCGAAATTAAAACTAACACTCATGGTTTCTTGTGTTTCTAGTGATAATACATTACTTTTGTGAAAGAAGTTTACAAATAGTTGCCATCAACACAAGATATGGGGAGAAGATAGAAAGATATTATGAGATGGACTTCGAGGTAACCACGATTAATTTCGTCACCCACTTTCTCGTCAACAGTCGTGAGCGTTGGAGAAAGACCGCCCTCTCTCGGTCATATTGAACACATCACTACCATACAACGCATCAAAACCTTTCAATCGAAGTCTGTTGAGCCTTCAGGGCTTGTAGTGAACAAATATGTTGACTGCTCATTCTCTTTTTTTTTTTTAAGTTTTTTTTTTTTTTTGTTTTTAATGAAATTTGATTATCTTAGAGTAGATTATATGAAAAGGGCTCTTAAATTTATCTTTTAGGGAATGAAAATGTATTATATGGGTCTGTGGTAAAGCCTAAACGTGTTTACCACCGCAGGGGTGAAGTTTGAGCCCGATATCCAATAGGCCATTTTCGTAATGTAGTCAAATTTGATGCACAAACAAGTACCTCGTTACAAATCATTCCATTCCCTGCTAAGAAAATGTTCAAAATTCGAATTGCATACATTAGTTGTGAATAGGTGGGGCTAAAATTATGACATGCCCTACTTAACAACATGTAGGTTATGCAATTCGAATTAATCATATCAGGTGAATAAAATAATTTGTACGGGCACTTATAAGATTTATGCATTAAATTTGATTACATTACGAAAATTATCTATTGCAAATTTCTCTGAAGTACTAGTATTGGCTCCATAAATAACAAACAGCTGAGTGAAAAAGAGGCAAAGGGGGGGGGGTAAAACTCCAGGAAAAATAGGAGGGAGAGAAGGAAAGAGAACGATCTGAGGGAAGGATTGTGTGAAAAGGAGAGAGAGGGAGAGAGAGAGAGAGAGAGAGAGAGAGAGAGAGGCATAATAATAGGAGTGAATGATCGCTAGAGGGGGGAATCCACTGCGCAACGCAATCACACTATTCTTTTCGTTGGCTGCATGCGGGAGGCGTGTCGGTTCTCCACAGCAAGTCTCTGATTGGTCGATGGCGAGTGTTCGTTGCAACGAGTATGACGCATCGTGCAAGGACGTATCTCGATCAATGACAAATTTCGGTCTATGTTACAGCTGACGAACCAGCTGATCACAGGCATTCGCAAACAAACTGTCATCGAGAGCAGACGATATTGAAGAAGCTCTCCTTGTATGTGTAAAGGAAACTTTACAAATCTCTCGGATTCCTACGATATTAATTTACTAGTCTATCTTACTTTGGATTTTTACTCTTACTGATTGATCAGTCAACATGAGGACTGTATCGGAATTGCTGAGGAACGACCCGAAATCCGGGTACCCTCTCGCCACGGCCAATGCATTGCAGTCTGCTCTGCTGGCAAGCAACGGGACCCTGATCGCCGGTACTGCCCTGTCCGGCGGCATGGGTGTTTGGTCTGAGGCCGTCGTTGGTCAGCGAGTACTGGACAACGGTGGTGGTCTGCGAGGTCGCAAGGAGGCTCGGATCAGGAGGCCAATGAATGCTTTCATGGTTTGGGCAAAGGATGAGAGGAAGAGGTTGGCTGACCAGAACCCCGATCTACACAACGCGGACCTGAGCAAACTTCTTGGTAAGTAACACACCATCCACATAGTAACTCTCGTCTTCAATCAACACTGCCACCATCCACAAATATACATGCAGCGGAAACTCACATTAGCTCACATACTTGCTGGCAATATTAAATGTACACATCATCATACACTTGCAGTAGCTCAAAGATATTGCATTTCATTTATTTCAAATCCTAAGCATTGCTGAATAGAGATAGATGTCAATGCAGCTAAATTTTGCAGCTTATCAACCATGCATCATACACAAGAATATCAATATCGTATCATGTTTCGTGTTACCAAATTCCCCCAAGCTGTATTGCATTTCTTTCCGGTGGTTTTCGATGTATCAATTTCGTGGCAACTGCCTCCCCCATATTTTCTCTTACTATCATTTTTTCTTACCCCCCCCTCCAACATCTTTCTTCCTCTATTTATTTCGCCCTCTCTCTATCTATCTATCTGTACAATGACATTTAATGGCAGGCGATTAAAACTGCACATCCTAAAGAGCAATCACACTTTACCACGTTCTTATCAAACACCAGAACTGGCAGAAGGTGAATCGCGATCAACCCGGGATAATTTTAGAGCGATCACCTTTCTGTAAAGGTGAATTGTGGGTATTCTTGGAGCTTGAAATCAGTCACGTGGTACATCAGCTGTTATCACCCTTGACACTGCAGCAGTCAGTCATGTTGAGAGAGAGAGAGAGAGAAGGGGACAAACGAATGAATATAGAAAAGAAAGAGCAGTGTTATACATGAGAGAGTTAGCGAATAAGAGAGAGAGAGAGAGAGAGATGAATGTAGATGGGAGACGGGGCTGATTGACAAGAGGGAGAGAGAGAATAAAACATGGACAGATAATCAATGCAACGAGAAAAAAACTTCCAGGTCCAGAAGTTATGCAACTGGTATATATTGTAGTTTTATAGAGTCATGATAGAAATTAAACAGAAACTGAATTGTACAATACAGTTATAAAGAAGTCATTGATTTTATTCGCAGATTAAAGAGATCGATGGCTCTTTATTGTACAGTTAAATCCCTTTTATCTGGCAATTCATTCGTATTTCTATGTCCAGAAAGAGTTGGGTCGCATGGAAAAGAAGAGAGATGGAGAGCTAAAGAAACTCAAAATAATGTTCCAATCGCAGTTTAACAGTTAATACGTGGTCAATAAGAAAAGTACTATTATTATTAAGCTATGACCTTGTATCTAGGTTTTACATCGAAACTCATTAAAAGTAGTCCACTTGTTGATAAGTGGCTCAGTTTCTCTCTTGTCGTGGCAAATTAATGATGGCGGAAGGCAATGCATGTATGATTTACATTCGAAATACACGTGTTGAGTCAAGCATGTGCATGGTAACAAACAAAGTGGTATGGCTAGATACAAAACAGAAAAACGTTTGTCAAAATATTATGATAACACGCCCACCAGGTACAGTAATGAGGCCTACATTTTTTTTTTAATGAAGAGAAGAAAAGACATGAATTCGTGCCGAGCCAGGAGCAAAATTTGGCGTAAATGGGTGGACGGAGACATTAAACAAAAAGTGTGCGCGTATGTGTGTGTAAATGAAGAGAATGTAAATAGTGCGACAGTTGTGTGGGGACAAGATTGTATTAAATAACGAACAGAAAAGATAGTGACAGAGAGAAGAGGAAAGCGAGAAAGAGGAGAAGAAAGGAGAGGGGAGAAAAGAAAAAAGGAAAGAGTGCCGCATCGAAAGCAACTTGGGATTCCCAATATCCAGGGTACCAATCTTGAGGTTGGAATTAAAGCGAGGAAGAGGAAAAGAGAGAGAGAGAGAGAGAGAGAGAGGAAGAGGGAAAGAAAGAGATATCATTACATGTCAAAAACCTCTTGAGGAATCATTCAGGAAGGAATATAACAAAACCACGGCCCCTGGAATTAGTGACAAGCAGAAATTAGTTTACTTTAAGACGTCATTGTCTATTTCTCAAGGTGCACTTATTCATTTCAAACATGTCTCACAGACCCACGCCCAAGATAATCATTATTTTGCCAAATAAAGAAATGTCTCTCTGTCCCATTTATGCCACAACACTTCTGGGTTTGTGATTGAAGTGTTATATATGGGAGATGATTCGTGATGAAGATGGATAAAAAATCAAATGCGTCTGGAAAAAGGCAAGGAAGGAAGGAAAAAGAGTGAGCTTGGCAAGCGGGTCTCACGTGAGGGTACAACGGGGTCAAGATTTTATACTGAATTCTCCGAGCAATGCACAAAACCATTCCAGATTGCGTAGAGGTAGAGGGGGGAAATGAAGGAAAACAGAAAGGAGGTACGATTTTTTAAACATATTTTCTTTTAAAATTACAGATGCTTGCATTATACACTTTGTAGGAAACGAAAACATGGCATTAGAAACATTTGCCTTCAAATTATAACTTTAAATGAAGGCAAACATGTAGTTGGGAAGTGGAAAAGATGACGGTAAATGAACATGGTAAAAGTATTGCATTGACGCTTTCGTGAAATTGCAAGTGGAGTGGTAGTACACATCTCACTGTATACAGTTAACTCATGTGTTTATTACTGTATTCATTTCATACTGCTCAAAATTTTATAGTGAAATAGGTCAATACTTGACCTTTTTGGTGTAACACCGTGTATAAGCCGCAGACCTCTGAAAATAGCCGAAAGAAAATTGAGCGCCAATTGCCAAGTCTGTTTATTTTCATTTTTAATTGTGTGCCTCAACGAAAGTGACCTAAGAAATTGAGTTTGCCAACAAACTTATCAATTTTGGTTTATTTTCTACCTCTCGATTTCTGATAGATATATTTTGGCATGATTTATTTCAAACAGCCCCCTTTTTGGAGAGGTGTCTTGGCTTGTCTTGGACTTCTAAAGTGAAACCATCGTTTATTTTGGCCATATTCTTGAAATCATCATTTTATAAAGTATAAAAGTGTCATGGCAATTTGCCTGAGGTTGTGAGGTTTATGGTCACCCCAGCTTGGCAATAGATAGGTCTCCCATGGCAGGGTTTAGAAACAATAATTTCCTCGCGTAGGCCGAAACTATTTTTACCACAAAGTTTGGAATGATGGACAGACGTGAATGAAAGCAAAACAAATACAGCTCAAGATATTTTGTTCAAAAAGTGAACCCTAGTAAACAGATATTTAGAAGATTTTCTGCTCACCCCCCAAAATAGTCATGCTCTGTAGAGTTTGTGAGAAGAGGGTGAAAATACGAGATGGTTGGAGAGCGATGTGACTAGCCCCTTTAAATTGTGAATAGTCTCGCGTTACAGACCCGTTACCACGACGAAAACGGCGTGTTCGTTATTAACGCGGTTTAAATGTGGCGTCACGCGTTTTCCAGGGGGTGTGAGAATTTTGTACTATTGTATTGTAGCTCAGCTTTAAACTTGGATTTCATGATTGCCCTCATACCGTTGTACTTGTAGTTGCTTCCTGAATTAGAAGAATTAATGCAGACTTCGGTGACTGGGAATTCCCTGTAGGATTTGCATGCGATAGGTGGTTGTCAATGGCATTGATAATGGTAAATCGATATAACACAGGAAATACATGTCCAGACTTGTTTTATATAGATACCGATGGAGGTTACGAAGTGGTTCTAAATATCAACTTATTAATTGAGGATGTTTTTGTCGTAATTGGGATTGTTAGAGAGAGAGAGAGAGAGAGAGACCACACGCCTGTGCAATATATGTTTTATTTAATTATTATTCGATCATTATCTCGTAATATATTTTTATTTTCCTTGTGCAACACCCACAATGTTAGACGGTGGTTCATCTCCATAATTTCATGATATAATTGCAATAGTGGTCGATAATTATTTGGGCGTATTATTATCCTAGATTTTAATTACCATAGGTGATTGATGTGGGTGTTTTTGAAGGTTAGTCGGACTGCGATTGATTTACGTTTTTGTAACGTCCTCGGCCATTCCTCTTGTTAAAAACATTTGTTGTTGCTTTTGTTATTTGTTTGGTCTCGGTAAGGGGTAGCAATAATAAAAGAGTGTCATGATTAAAAGCAGAAGCCCCCTCTCCCCCTCTCTGGCTCTCTCTCTCTCTCCGATAATTGCATGATCCAAATACCCTCCCACCCTAAACCCGAAGTCGAACCTCTTTTTGGAACCGTTCCCTCCAGCACCCCTTCCCCAACCTCCGGGGGCGTACCCTGTTAACTCGGTTATAACCTGACGAGCAAAACAGCAGCACTATCGACTCAAATGATCGCTTTGCTTCACGAGTAGGATAGATAGGTTCTGCTCAGGAATATAGATATGATAAACTCATAATAATCTGATTGCCTGTGCATTGGATTTCTTTCCGTGTTGGATCATAGCCGCGGAAATCCTTCCGCTCTTCGATGAGTCATGCTTTGAGCGCGAGGCAAGCTTAGCACGTAAACCGTGGGTCGAGGGGGTTCCCAGTAAACGCGAGGCAAGCTAGGGAGAAAGCAATGTTTACCAGTCTGTCGCTGTGTGATTTCTGAATAACGGTGCAGGCGATAGGCGCATGCACATCTATCAGTGTGTGTGTTGGGGTTTATGTGTAGTAACTCCTTGGTATGAGCGAACTGAAAGTGTTGAAGGGCTTGCGTGCGAAGTTTTCGTAGGGGCAGCCTTCTTCATATCTGTCAATCCTATGGCTTTTCGCAAAGGCTGTCACTCATTCATTCTGTTCCCGCGATCTTTCAAAAGACACCGCGTTTCGCTTCTCCATTTCCCCCATTATTTGTGGCTTGATGTAATTATAATTTCATAATGCTTTAAGAAAATCAACTCTTTTCTTAAAGAGTAGCAACGACACAACCTTGTACCACTTGAATAAATGAAACATTAAGAAAAGAGGAAGAAAAACCTTCATAAAAGTTTCTAAAACATTGTTTGCTTCACACGCAACTAGATCATCAGTATCAAACTGACACCCCATTCCATGTTTTCTCACTTTTCGCTCCCCCTCCCCCCCCCCCCCCCCTCTTTCTCTTTCTCTCTTTA